GGCTCTGTGAGCCAATTTTCAGCCAAATCGGAATGGCCCGGTCATGGGTGGTAAGAAATTTAGAATGTTCTATCTCGAGAAGGGTCAATATTTCCACCCTAGAGACCATGATTTTCGGAATCAGCGTGCTGAGAAGGCTCTGTGAGCCAATTTTCAGCCAAATCGGGATGGCCCGGTCATGGGTGGTAAGAATTTTAGAGGGCTCTATCTCGAGAACGGTCAATATTTCCACCCTGGAGACCATGATTTTCGGAATCAGCGTGCTGAGAAGGCTCTGTGAGCCAATTTTCAGCCAAATCGGGATGGCCCGGTCATGGGTGGTAAGAACTTTAGAGGGTTCTATCTCGAGAACGGTCAATATTTCCACCCTAGAGACCATGATTTTCGGAATCAGCGTGCTGAGAAGGCTCTGTGAGCTAATTTTCAGCCAAATCGGGATGGCCCGGTCATGGATGGTAAGAACTTTAGAGGGTTCTATCTCGAGAATGGTCAATATTTCCACCCTAGAGACCATGATTTTCGGAATCAGCGTGCTGAGAAGGCTCTGTGAGCCAAGTTTCAGCTAAATCGGGATGGCCCGTTTCTCGCTGCTGGACTCGCTGCGAGGGTTCTTTCTCGAGAACGGTCAATATTTCCACCCTAGATACCATGATTTTCGGAATCAGCGTGCTGAGAAGGCTCTGTGAGCCAATTTTCAGCCAATTCGGGATGGCCCGGTCATGGGTGGTAAGAACTTTAGATGGTTCTATCTCGAGAACGGTCAATATTTCCACCCTAGAGACCATGATTTTCGGAATCAGCGTGCTGAGAAGGCTCTGTAAGCCAATTTTCAGCCAATTCGGGATGGCCCGGTCATGGATGGTAAGAACTTTAGAAGGTCCTATCTCGAGAACGGTCAATATTTCCACCCTTGAGACCATGATTTTCGGAATCAGCTGCTGAGAAGGCTCTGTAAGCCAATTTTCAGCCAAATCGGGATGGCCCGGTCATGGATGGTAAGAACTTTAGAGGGTTCTATCTCGAGAACGGTCATTATTTCCACCCTAGAGACCATGATTTTCGGAATAAGCGTACTGAGAAGGCTCTGTGAGCCAAATTTCAACAAAATCGGGATGGCCCGTTTCTCGCTGCTTGACTCGCTGCGAGGGTTCTATCTCGAGAACGATCAATATTTCCACTCAAGAGACCATGATTTTCGGAATCAGCGTGCTGAGAAGGCTCTGTGAGCCAATTTTCAGCCAAATCGGGATGGCCCGGTCATGGGTTGTAAGAACTTTAGAGGGTTCTATCTCGAGAACGGTCAATATTTCCACCCTAGAGACCATGATTTTCGGAATCAGCGTGCTGAGAAGGCTCTGTGAGCCAATTTTCAGCCAAATCGGGATGGCCCGGTCATGGGTGGTAAGAACTTTAGAGGGTTCTATCTCGAGAATGGTCAATATTTCCACCCTTGAGACCATGATTTTCGGAATCACCGTGCTGAGAAGGCTCTGTGAGCCAATTTTCAGCCAAATCGGGATGGCCCGGTCATGGGTGGTAAGAACTTTAGAGGGTTCTATCTCGAGAACGGTCAATATTTCCACCCTAGAGACCACGATTTTCGGAATCAGCGTGCTGAGAAGGCTCTGTGAGCTAATTTTCAGCCAAATCGGGATGGCCCGGTCATGGATGGTAAGAACTTTAGAGGGTTCTATCTCGAGAATGGTCAATATTTCCACCCTAGAGACCATGATTTTCGGAATCAGCGTGCTGAGAAGGCTCTGTGAGCCAATTTTCAGCCAAATCGGGATGGCCCGGTCATGGATGGTAAGAACTTTAGAGGGTTCTATCTCGAGAACGGTCAATATTTCCACCCTTGAGACCATGATTTTCGGAATCACCGTGCTGAGAAGGCTCTGTGAGCCAATTTTCAGCCAAATCGGGATGGCCCGGTCATGGGTGGTAAGAACTTTAGAGGGTTCTATCTCGAGAACGGTCAATATTTCCACCCTAGAGACCATGATTTTCGGAATCAGCGTGCTGAGAAGGCTCTGTGAGCTAATTTTCAGCCAAATCGGGATGGCCCGGTCATGGATGGTAAGAACTTTAGAGGGTTCTATCTCGAGAATGGTCAATATTTCCACCCTAGAGACCATAATTTTCGGAATCAGCGTGCTGAGAAGGCTCTGTGAGCCAATTTTCAGCCAAATCGGGATGGCCCGGTCATGGATGGTAAGAACTTTAGAGGGTTCTATCTCGAGAACGGTCAATATTTCCACCCTTGAGACCATGATTTTCGGAATCAGCGTGCTGAGAAGGCTCTGTGAGCCAATTTTCAGCCAAATCGGGATGGCCCGGTCATGGGTGGTAAGAACTTTAGAGGGTTCTATCTCGAGAACGGTCAACATTTCCACCCTAGAGACCATGATTTTCGGAATCAGCGTGCTGAGAAGGCTCTGTGAGCTAATTTTCAGCCAATTCGGGATGGCCCGGTCATGGATGGTAAGAACTTTAGAGGGTTCTATCTCGAGAACGGTCAATATTTCCACCCTAGAGACCATGATTTTCGGAATCAGCGTGCTGAGAAGGCTCTGTGAGCCAATTTTCAGCCAAATCGGGATGGCCCGGTCATGGGTGGTAAGAACTTTAGAGGGTTCTATCTAGAGAACGGTCAATATTTCCACCCTAGAGACCATGATTTTCGGAATCAGCGTGCTGAGAAGGCTCTGTGAGCTAATTTTCAGCCAAATCGGGATGGCCCGGTCATGGATGGTAAGAACTTTAGAGGGTTCTATCTCGAGAATGGTCAATATTTCCACCCTAGAGACCATGATTTTCGGAATCAGCGTGCTGAGAAGGCTCTGTGAGCCAAGTTTCAGCTAAATCGGGATGGCCCGTTTCTCGCTGCTGGACTCGCTGCGAGGGTTCTTTCTCGAGAACGGTCAATATTTCCACCCTAGATACCATGATTTTCGGAATCAGCGTGCTGAGAAGGCTCTGTGAGCCAATTTTCAGCCAATTCGGGATGGCCCGGTCATGGGTGGTAAGAACTTTAGATGGTTCTATCTCGAGAACGGTCAATATTTCCACCCTAGAGACCATGATTTTCGGAATCAGCGTGCTGAGAAGGCTCTGTAAGCCAATTTTCAGCCAATTCGGGATGGCCCGGTCATGGATGGTAAGAACTTTAGAGGGTTCTATCTCGAGAACGGTCAATATTTCCACCCTTGAGACCATGATTTTCGGAATCAGCTGCTGAGAAGGCTCTGTAAGCCAATTTTCAGCCAAATCGGGATGGCCCGGTCATGGATGGTAAGAACTTTAGAGGGTTCTATCTCGAGAACGGTCATTATTTCCACCCTAGAGACCATGATTTTCGGAATAAGCGTACTGAGAAGGCTCTGTGAGCCAAATTTCAACAAAATCGGGATGGCCCGTTTCTCGCTGCTTGACTCGCTGCGAGGGTTCTATCTCGAGAACGATCAATATTTCCACTCAAGAGACCATGATTTTCGGAATCAGCGTGCTGAGAAGGCTCTGTGAGCCAATTTTCAGCCAAATCGGGATGGCCCGGTCATGGGTTGTAAGAACTTTAGAGGGTTCTATCTCGAGAACGGTCAATATTTCCACCCTAGAGACCATGATTTTCGGAATCAGCGTGCTGAGAAGGCTCTGTGAGCCAATTTTCAGCCAAATCGGGATGGCCCGGTCATGGGTGGTAAGAACTTTAGAGGGTTCTATCTCGAGAATGGTCAATATTTCCACCCTTGAGACCATGATTTTCGGAATCACCGTGCTGAGAAGGCTCTGTGAGCCAATTTTCAGCCAAATCGGGATGGCCCGGTCATGGGTGGTAAGAACTTTAGAGGGTTCTATCTCGAGAACGGTCAATATTTCCACCCTAGAGACCACGATTTTCGGAATCAGCGTGCTGAGAAGGCTCTGTGAGCTAATTTTCAGCCAAATCGGGATGGCCCGGTCATGGATGGTAAGAACTTTAGAGGGTTCTATCTCGAGAATGGTCAATATTTCCACCCTAGAGACCATGATTTTCGGAATCAGCGTGCTGAGAAGGCTCTGTGAGCCAATTTTCAGCCAAATCGGGATGGCCCGGTCATGGATGGTAAGAACTTTAGAGGGTTCTATCTCGAGAACGGTCAATATTTCCACCCTTGAGACCATGATTTTCGGAATCACCGTGCTGAGAAGGCTCTGTGAGCCAATTTTCAGCCAAATCGGGATGGCCCGGTCATGGGTGGTAAGAACTTTAGAGGGTTCTATCTCGAGAACGGTCAATATTTCCACCCTAGAGACCATGATTTTCGGAATCAGCGTGCTGAGAAGGCTCTGTGAGCTAATTTTCAGCCAAATCGGGATGGCCCGGTCATGGATGGTAAGAACTTTAGAGGGTTCTATCTCGAGAATGGTCAATATTTCCACCCTAGAGACCATAATTTTCGGAATCAGCGTGCTGAGAAGGCTCTGTGAGCCAATTTTCAGCCAAATCGGGATGGCCCGGTCATGGATGGTAAGAACTTTAGAGGGTTCTATCTCGAGAACGGTCAATATTTCCACCCTTGAGACCATGATTTTCGGAATCAGCGTGCTGAGAAGGCTCTGTGAGCCAATTTTCAGCCAAATCGGGATGGCCCGGTCATGGGTGGTAAGAACTTTAGAGGGTTCTATCTCGAGAACGGTCAACATTTGCACCCTAGAGACCATGATTTTCGGAATCAGCGTGCTGAGAAGGCTCTGTGAGCTAATTTTCAGCCAATTCGGGATGGCCCGGTCATGGATGGTAAGAACTTTAGAGGGTTCTATCTCGAGAACGGTCAATATTTCCACCCTAGAGACCATGATTTTCGGAATCAGCGTGCTGAGAAGGCTCTTTGAGCCAAATTTCAGCTAAATCGGGATGGCCCGTTTCTCGCTGCTGGACTCGCTGCTCGCTGCTCGCTGCTAGTTTGACAGACGTAGTTTTACAACTAAATACTGCTGGCAGTAGCCTAGAAGCTGAGAATATAAATGGTGGTCACCATGTGGTCACCAGCATTAATTGCTGCATATTCTGTGATAGAACAAATGTTAAAATAAATTGTCTGCGAGGCCACTAAAAAGGCACACATGACGAGCACTAATTCCAAGATTGATTGATGCAGGCAAGGCCGTATATGCAGGGATCTGGCAGGGATATCATTATATTTGATAAGTCGCTGTCTTTCAGATATTTACTTATTCACTTAAATAATCTTATTCAAGCTCATTTTTTATCATTGTAGTTAAAATTCATAGTAAGTGTTGTCCTTGTCTCGACTATGGGCCTGTTCCAGCGCCTCCAGAAGAAATTCTTGACTGGAGGCTCTACCAGAGGTTTCACTGGAGGCGCTGGAACGCAATCTGGAGATTTCTGGAGATTGGCATCACAGATACCCAAAGAATGACGATTGTTCTCTCTTGAAACGCAAAATTTGTTTTCAATTTTATTAAGAAAGATTAACAAAATTATAGCAATATAATTTTCTTTATATTCAAGTTGTAAAATAATCAGTCAAAAGTCCTTTGTTTACATAGATATATCTATGTTTGTTTACATTCGTAATTGTCACATGTGCGCCATAATTGTAGACCAGAGCCTCCAGAGAAATTTGGACCTCCCAACTCTCTGGAGGCTACTGGAGGTTTCTGGAGCTTTGGCGAGAGCTTTCTGGAGCTTTCTGGAGGCGCTGGAACGCTCTCTGGAGGATTCTAGAGCTTTCTGGAGCTTTCTGGAGGTTTCTGGAGGCGCTGGAACAGGCCCTATCTGTAGGAATCTTGCCCCGCGTTCGATGTCTCTCGGACGGCGAAGATTCTACGCCGTCCGGCCAATCACGTTTCATAACCGCAGCCGAGCCCCCGCTGACCTTGGACGTTATTGGCCGGTCGGCAAAGAATCTTTGCCGTCCGGGAGACATCGAACGCCGCCTTGGTCTTGACAAAAAGTAAATCATCAACATGGCCTGGCCTCTGCATAGCATAAGGGCTGGGCTTTCATAAATTATTTTTTGTTAATTGATATAGGTATTGCTGATGACTACTAAATCGCTTTTTCTGCTGAACAGTTTTTATATGCCTGAGTTAAACTGGTCAGCTTAAATTGTTAACATAAAGTTTAAACTGTTGTTAAACTGTCAGCTTAAACTGAAACTGTTGATTTGCTTCCAGACCTCTCCAGTGCTCCAGTCACGGTCAAATGTCAGCTCCAGCATCCGAGGGTAGGGGCGATGTGCCCCGCCAGTATGGCTCAATGGCTGAGTACTGCACTGATCTACGGCTCTGGATGGCACGTGTGCAGCAAACACGCTGCATGGAGGCCATGTTTCCCATTTGGTTGTCTCAGCAGCTGGCTGCCGGATCACTGCCACAGCAGCAGCAGCAGCAGCAGGTGAGGTTGAAGAGCTGTGGGTGTTGGCTTAAGACATACTGGGTGCGTCAATAATTTTAAGCCTTAAACACATTTAATTGTTTTACCCTCCTTGCAATGCTGGTCCTTGCATTATTCCAACCTGTTACTTTTGCCATAATCTGGATGGCTAGTGCACAGCAAAACAGCTCCAATACCTACATAGCTAAATTTGGTGCTTATGCACTCATTGTTGATTGTTCTCAGAAAATGAGCCTATGGCACAGCATCCCTGATAACAGAGTGTCAACCCCTCATCTGTCTCGCAGCCAGGAGTGAGGTTTGGCTTTGCCAACCAGGCTGCTGCACCTCCACCTCAGGAGCAGCAGCAGCAGCCCCAGCGAGGTGAGGATGGCTCTGCCTACTTAGGTGCTTACTGCTAGTGCTGACCCTCTGATGGTGTGGAGTTGGACCATAGGCTAGTCACATTTGACATACCTACTCAAAATTTATACATGCTTCTTTGACTGAAAATATGCATAGGTACCTACATTTTGCTTCAATGTATGGCGCAAGTACCGTCGTAGTTGCGCTACCGCAAATGCAATATCAAATTATTACAACAGCGATCGTCACTGATAACTACGCCCTGACAGGTATCGAGTTTCGTATTCCGCCACTGTGGAAGCGTCTTGTGGCTGAAACGGTAGACTTCTTCATCCTGATGATTATCAAGTTCCTGCTTGCGTACATCGCCATCGATCAGTTCGGCCTCATGTGAGTACCTTGTAGTTATTGGAGCGTGCCGCGGTTGTAACGATTGAGAGAGTCAGGCTGAGTGGCTACAGCTGGAAGGCTGTGTGTGTGCTACATCAGCGCGGTGTGTTGCAGCAGTGTGGCCAAATTGGTTTAGCGTTAGGGGGAGGATGTTTAAAAAAGTCGTACGAGGATGTCACTATTTTCAAAAAACTCGTCTTCAGCCTCAATTTAGGTGCAGTTTTTACAGATAATGTGGAAAAACTATACCTGACGTCAAGTTCTGGTGGAAAGTACAAAAAACTCCAAATATTGTCATTAAAGATGTAAAAAGAAAACAACATTGCAAAGCGCGACAGCACGAGTATGACGGTGCGAATCGTACATTGGAACATTTTAGTCTTTATTCGTACACTAGGTATGCTTTCACGACAAAAACGTCGTGATGATGTAATTTTAAAATTTCTGACGATGTCATTATACTTTTCATTGTGAGTGACTTTCCCCGCAACATCACCAATTTGGCCACACTGTGTTGCAGAGACATCCAGTTAGTTTGTTGTCGCTTGTTTTGTTTCTGCATACTCTGTATCGAGTACCGAAGACTGATCGCTCGGCGACTGGCCTGACACCTGCCGCCGAACAGTTCAACTAATCGTCACTCCGGCGGCCCCAAGGTGTCGTTCACTGTGCTTGCACTGAGCTGCGGTACACTGTGCAGTGTGCAGGTCCAGCCCAGCTGAGGCGCCGATTTGAGTCACGATGCATTTACCTGGTTCGCGTCATCACATGTCAGTCGTCTTGTAGATGGTTGTGTGGTCATTGTAATTTGTATCATCTACAGAGCATGCATATTGCATAATCCTGTTTTATGTGATCATATGGTGAATCTTTAACCAAAAATGCAAAATACAGAAAATCCAGTCCGCGCAAACCCTCAAAACTAAGCATCGCAAATGAGCGGTAGAGGGACCTTTGCTCGGCCGGGTGGTCCGTCCCTCCAGCTAGGCTCTGCGGCAGTCCTGAATGGCGTCACCCAAAAGATCAAACCAAATCAAATGTTGGTACTTTGAGCAATATAGGCCAGGGTGCGTCAAAAGTTTGATAACTTACGAATCGTCCCTTCCTTTCAGTAAAAGAAAAAATAATGTAACAGATTCATTGCACCGGTCAATACGTCAATACATTTTCCATGAAGCTGGGCACAGCGTGAAACACCAGCAAGTATGCTAGGCACAAAGTTCTGGAGATGCTAAGGGCTGATGTTTGCTCACGTCTTCTTGACCGCCTTTTCGAGCTGCTCTGGGTCGCTGGGAGGTTTTGTCTGGTCAAGTTCCTGCTGCACAATTCCCTAGAGCAATGCGTTTGGACTTAGCTCAAGGTTGTTCCCTAGCCTTGTATCATTCGCCCAGATATTGGAAAGATGCTCCTGGCACCACCTCTTAGATCAGGCAGACCAATGAGAAGGAGCAGTCTTCCATGAAAACACTCCGACGTGTGTGGCACCGTGCGCCGCTGAAGAACGGAGCCCATGGTGACCGTCCTGTTGATGACAGGCATACAGACTTTCTTCAGGATATTTTCGATATAGTTGTGAGCATCGATCACCATTTTCAGCGGAATCGCGTTCAGTGCTGTATACATTATCTGTCATTTTATACCAGAAAGGAAAAGCTTACGATCCATTGATTGATTGGTCCTAAATGATATTGGGCATTTCGTGGTAAATAGTTCGATCGCTTTTCGTTAGCTAATTGCTTGCTTTCTATTTTGTGAGGAAGCAAGGGTGATAGTGGATGTCAATATGTACCAACTTCCGGTGTTGTAAATATATTTGCCATCAGTTAACAACCAAACATCATTACGCCCATCTCAGTTAATCGATCGCCATCGGGTGCCGGCCGTATCTGGGAGCGCGCTGGTGCGCGGTGTCGGTCAGTGACAAATCACGTGAGCGTCTGTCGTTTCCGGAGGCGCCGCCCGAGTTGAGGCCGTCGCTGTTCATCATCTGCTGAGGCCGCGCCGGCCGAGGGCCTGTAAATCGGCCCAGATTGGCTCGGCGGCGGTCTGTTGTCTCGCCTGTAGCGCTGCAGTTTCCGGCCAACTCTGCCGTCGGCGTCCGCCGCCCGTGACGCCGTCCGCCGGGTCCGTTATTAGCCGCCATACAGACGTCACGGACCATGGCGATCTCTACTGCAAGGCATATGTTAAATGTGCCAGCCGGCATTATTGTCGGCGACACAGTGTGGTAATTATAGCGCATGATGTATTGGACACAGGCCGGACGGTTTGAATAAGGCGCCTGGGCCTTATTCGTCATGCCGTGTCGCCAAGTCATGTCGTACTCTAATATGATGCTAAACTTGACGAATGCTCGTGTAGAGGCTGGTTTTTAACCTACCTATGAAATGATTTCGGTAAACATTACACGCTGTATTTGTTCTCATCAATACCTCTTGGTATAAGGTACGATTGCCAGTATTTCTTTTCGACGGAATTTCCTCTGCCTATCCCGACCAAATGAGTTTCGGCGTCCATGGTATATTACATTCCTGTCTGGGTCCAGGAAATTAAATAGTGTGATGAAGCTGGCGTCTCCGAAAATACCACTGGCTGCTAATATCCAGCTACTTCACTTACAAAGGAAATAGACATGGGCTGACCCGAATTATTAGCCTGACGAATCAGGGAGCGAGAAATCTAATGTTTAGGCATGATATTTCATAATGTAAAATACTAGAGAAGTTTGTATTGTCGCGAAATTTACGTGTGTTTACAGTTTTCTGGTGTGAATGATAATGCACCATATCAGCGATATCTCCTGGATCACGCTGGTTTGCGCCGCTGCCCGGGCGGTCGCTGGTAGTTTGTTTTCATGACTAAGTTTATGTCCCCTTACCACATGGTAACACCACCCCGTGTCGCCGAGGTCGTGACTCTGGCCACTGGCACCGCGCCGGCATGGTAACGCTACCCTGCCGCATGGACGCTTATTTGGGGCTTTCAATTTGTGCCGGCCGAATATTTCACTTGGCGGGGCGGCTTTTCATCAGGGCGGCGTGATTTATGTCGCGGGGCCTGTGCGCGGAATGTCCCCCGCGGGACAGCTCCCGACAATATCGGCCGGCCGGCGCAGATGGGCGGACCAAACCAACAACACTGGGGCCATCAACATCAGACCAGCTGGACGGACCGAACCTCAACCAACAACACCAGACTCAGGGCTGGAACAACAGCACCAGGCCAACTGAACGGACCGAACCCCAACCAACAGCACTAGACTGCCTAAACGTACCAAACCAATACCAGAGCTGGACGCACCGAACCAGTAACACTCTGGTTGGAACGAGCCAACAATACCAGGGCTGGAACAACAACACCAGACCAGCTGGACGAACCGAACTAGCAACGCCATAGCTGAGCCAACGGCACCAGAGCTGAACCAACAACACCAGACCAGCTGGACGAACCGAACCAAACCCAACCAACAACACCAGCAACCAGCTCTTGGTTGCTGGACTTACCAACACCACCGCAGCAGAGCGGGTACTCCCCGCCTCCCCGGCACAGCCGTTCACAACACTGTTCTCAACATTTCCAGTTTCCACATAGAAGACGGATGGGTGTTGCCAAACAAAGAATGGCAACAACCTAAGAACATTTTTGTGAACATTCTCCACAAAAGTCTGTCCGTTGAGCTAATTAGGGGCTACGAGGGATTATGATTGCTTGTTATAATGTGTTGCACATTAACTATACTTAGCTATAAGGCGTTGCTATGCCATGACCCAAAGCATCAACAAGCCTTTACTTTTCCGCCATATAATGAAATAAAGTGCTAATGCGAGCATTTGTCTTATTCCTGGTACATGTTGTGTGACATTTGCAAATGTTTGATATCATAATTAACAGACGTGCAGATTCCAGAACGTTATTAGTCATTATACTTCAAATGTAGCTGCTAATTAGCCCTTGGATGTATGGACAATGTGCGTTGTGCATGGTTTGATCGATTAATCCGGCCGTTGATGACATGTGATCATTCACTGACGCTGACCTGACCCGAAGTGACCGGTCCGTTTCAGCGATCGACCTGACTAAGTCACCTGACCAAGTGATCTGACCCGGTGACCTTTCTATTTTATTGACCTGACCAAATGACCTGACCTGGTGACCGTTCGGTTTCAGTGACCTGACTAAGTGACCTAACCTGGGGCCGTATTCACGTCGACTTCGTAAGTCGATTTTCTTTCGTATGTAAGTATAATTTGGTATTCACGTCGACACTCCTCAAGTTTTTATCGACGGAGTTCACGTGATTTAAAAATTTACTTAAGAAGTAGGTCAAACTTAAGAAAATTCTTACGAATATGATCGACGTGAATACGGCCCCTGGTGACCGTTCGGTTTCAGTGACCTGACTAATTGACGCTGACCTGGTGACGGTTCGATTTCAGTGACCTGGCCTGACCTGACCTGGTGACGGTTCGGTTTCAGTGACCTGGCCAAGTGACGCTGACCTGGTGACTGTTCGGTTTCAGTGACCTGGCCTGACGCTGACCTGGTGACCGTTCGTTTTCAGTGACCTGGCCAAGTACGACGTGGACACGCTGGTGAAGGTGGCCAGCGGAGGTCAGGCCGACATGAGCTACACACTGGCCATGGAGATGACCTCCGAGCTGCTCATGCTGGAGATGGTCAACCGCGTCTCCGTCTGCTGGTTCGAGGTGGGTCCCTGTCCGATGGATCGTTGTTGTTGGTGTCTCGTCTCCTTCCAGGGGTCACGATTGGCGCGGGTGCTTGAATATGGCTGAGCCCGCTCCATGGAGACCCACAGGCATGGGCACGACGTGCCGAGACCGTATGGAGCGCACTTATTGGATAAAACAATATGCATTAACACTTTCAGAAATTTAAACGTTTTCGTTAAACACAGAATCAGGCATTACTCATATCGTGTATTAGTGATGCTACACTAATGTATCGTTTGATAAGCGTGTGACTTTTACGTCGGACCAGCTTGCTCTAGGATCGGGCGCAGAAGGGGCCGAGTTAGTGGCTCCGGAAATGAGAGCGGTGATGTGCGGGCCATTTGCAGCCGATATCTGCGCCGTCCAGGTGGGATGTGTTGGGATGTGTGCCATAGGTCACATCTACCGCCCCCGGGTGGTTCAGCGCGGCCCCGGGCAGCCGGAATGGCCGTATCGGCACCCACTGGTCAGTTCCGCGCGTTTGGCTGTCAAGTCTAATGACGAAATATGACGCCCTTTTCTGGAAAATGTTGTGTGGCTTAATCAGAATAGGACGCGTTGAAACACTTGATAAAAACGGCCAGCGTTAAACATCGTTTTTTGAAGCGTGCTTTTTATTAGTGCTAATTGTCTTGAATAAGAGAATGTTGCGCTCACACATAATCTTGATTGCGTCCCAAAAGCGTTTCGTTGGGTCTCTAACAGTATGAGTAACGATGCATTCTAGGCTGTTAATTTGGTAGGGAATGGTCAATGATGCATCGGAGACTGTTGATTTGGTAGAGCGAAACTGAGAGCTTATTCCATTGGTTTCCAACAGAATACTGGCGTTAAGCTGCTCATGTTGGTTGTGTAAACAGATCTGATCAACCAATTGGTGTGTTGCTTTGGTGTGACGTCATCGGCATCCTATATCTGACGGGAAAATTAGCGATGCCGTCCATGAAGCCCCAGACCTCAATATGATAGATTGTGCACAGCTAGATTGATGTCGAATAATTTAATCAGGTGTTAGTGCATTATTCAAAATAGTCTTAGACATCTCTTCAAAGAAGTTACCATCGTCTATCCTTTTATGTTAAACATTGGGCTGGAGAAGTCAGTAATTAGCTTATTACAAACGGTACAATGCACAATGCACATAACTGTATATAAACGGTTCGCTGAACGGAGAATCAAACCACTGGTGCTTTCATCTGCAGTGTACCGTTAATGTCAGATATGCAGCTAAGGGCGGTCGGGAGAGTCGGCGCGGGTCTGAGCCCTGAGGCCTGGGGAGATGGGTCTGTGCAGCAGTCAGATTAGTTAGGTCCATGCAGTGTGCATCTGAGGGCGGGTTTAGGACTGGAGAGTCGGGTCTGAGCAGCTAAGAGCGGTCGGGAGAGTCAGGACGGTCTGTTGAGCTAGCTCTGTCCATCAGAGGGCGGGTCTGGGAGAGCTTGGGAATCGGCTCTGTGCTGCTGAGGGCGGCTCTGGTGAGCCCGCTCGGCCGTGTCGGGCGGAGGGCGGCGGCCCGTTCCGTCTCGCTGCAGCTGTTTGCCTCCGGCCGCGGCTGCCGCCGTGTTGTTGCCGCCGATCCGCGCGGTCGCACCCGAGCCGCGGCTCGATCGGTGTTCAGAGTGCTGTCAAAACAAGTGATTGCCGGTGGGGCATCGGAGGGTCGCGGGCCGGCGGGCGGGGCGCGCGCCCGGCCGGCCGGCTCTGGGGGCCGCTGATAAGACGGGTCGAGCGCCGCTGGGAGACGGACGGCGCCGAGTCACCCCCCCCCCCCGTCCATCCCCTCGGCGTGCCGGGGGCACACACTCGGCGCACAGTTTGCGCACTGCGTCACAGTGCGGCTGAAGGACTCCGAACCGCTGGTACGCCACACTGCGTGCTATCCACAGCGCTGCGGGTCGGCCATTTTTGTCGCAGCGTCCGTCTGACAAGGATCAGAGGACTGAATTGTCCGCTCGGCGTGCCTCGAGTGGCGCGCGTCTGGATACTGTCGAGCGCTCTTCACTGATTGCTTGGCGGGTGCATTGTTTCGAGCTGCTCCCAGAGGATGAAAGTCCCATCCGTTCGGGGGTCTGGTGCGCTGTATCTACCCGGAGCTGGTGGGCGCCCGCAGCGACTCTGGGCCGGTTCAGCCTCCGTCCCAGCCGGGCTGGGATCCTCCGTGTTTCGCCCTACTCTGTCAATATCCCACCCCGGTCCGTATGTGTGGCACTTCGGTCCTCCGTGTCCCGGCGTTCCGATCTGATCTGCGCCGTGCCAGTCACGGAACGGTGGGCGCGCCGCCAGCTGTACCAGCCGCGGTGGCACGGAGTCGGCAGCTGCCATTGAGGCTAGCGTCTGTGCACTTCCTCCGTGTGACTGCCGCCGGCCTCACTGCCGCTGTGTCTGCCGGTGCTGTGTCACTGATTGTTGTTATTGTGACTGAGGCGTGTTAAATCGATAGCTTTTATCGGCGCTGAACTGTCTCCAGCAATGCTGCTAGTCATAAGTCATCCGCTAGTCTGCTGTTTGGTGTCTGGTGTGGATCGAACGAAATTATGGAGCGATAGATGATCTCTGGAGCCGTTGGAACTTTGATAAGAATCGCTCTCAATTCGCGGTCGCTGATTGGATGCTGAGATTTTCCGCCAGCACTGTGGGGAACAGACGAGAAGTCGGCGGCCCTTCATCAACCAAAGAGCGGCTGGCCTGTGTCAGCGACATCCCGCCTTTCAGAGGCACAAATTACGGATTGCACAGCACTCAGTCTAATTTGGAATGGTTGTTGCCAAGCATGCATAATCCAACAATTGTACAGTTGACTACAGAATGATGTTCCCCTTTTCACAGGCAATTAGTTGCCTAGAGTGGTAGGTTGTGCCGCATCACACGAACTGAGTTTACAGTTAATGATGTGACCCAACGCTCACAATAGGCACGCTTAATTGCGTGATAAACGGCACAACTCAGCGTTCCAGTCAATTGGTAGGTTAATCTGAGGATTGGAACATCATTCTGTAGTCAACTGTACAGTTTTCCTGCTGGCTAGACTTATTCAATATTTCTAATGTATTCATTTTTAAATAATGGATCTAATGACTGTCGTATCTGTTCAGATACCTGGAGAGCTATACATATAAAGTAGAAATACCTGCTATCTTGTTAGCTTATTGCACACACCTTACGCAACTTGCTATTAGATTTAGGCTTAGCTATAGTAGTATCAAAGGCACCTTATTGAAAGCAGCCTTCCGTGGAATGCTGTTCTATTGTTATTGCCGTTTCTTTGAACGGTGTCTTGCAGCAGTTGCCGCTGGGAGCTTCATATTCAGATAGTGGATGATATTCGTGCCGACTTATTGGAGTTTGGTATTGTGATAGCTAGCAGAATTGCGAAAATTTGAGTACCTATGTCAAATAGGTAAAGTTCACCGGATCTGCTTTTCATGAGCTGTGGATGTTGATAACCTCAGTACCCCTAAGTATTTTCACGATCAGCATTGGTATTTGGTGTCAAAGCAAGCGTTAAAACACTTATCGAAGCTACCGAAAAGCCTAGAAACCGGCACTGAAAGAAAGTTATGTCGGTTTATCATTTGTTACAAGAGCAAGTCTTGAGGAGAGTTGCATGTTGTGACCAAGTGCAGCACAGGTGAGGTGAACCATCTCGGGACTGTTTCAGCGGAGCTGAAGCGCCTAGGGCTAGGTACCACAGAACGTTATAAGAACGGGTGTGATGAATGAAAAACAAGTGACTGCCTACAAGGTTATATTTCTTACAGCTTCTTTTCCGTTTAAAGAACTGCTAATTCTTTAGAAGTCGGCACCTTTTGACTTCAACTTAAAAGTCGGCACCTTTGACATCAACACGTTGAGTGTGGAAAGTTTCGCCAACTTTGACCTTGACAACTCCACTAATGAAGAAAGTACGTGAGACTACGAACAAATTAATTGCGTTGCACTCAGTGATCCATCGATCATAGAGCCCTTCTTGTTTTGACCAAATAAAGTATATGATTTCAATGCATGTTCTTTTCAGCCACACCTACCTTAGGTATGTGACCCGATTCCTGTTTTATTTTAATCCGATGACACTTGTCCTCCTTTTGACCATATCAATTTGCTGTTATGCGGTATCTGTCAAAGATAATGGCCGTGGAATCTGTTGATGGATCGTATTTTCGACACTGTGAACTGATGAGCGGCTTTACGATGCATTGACTGTCGAGGATGAGCGATAGCGCTGAGAACCATGGGATCCTAGTGGACGGCAGAAGCGCGTTGAATATCGGTGCTGAGCCCCCTCTTACCCGTCCTAGGTCCGCGCTCACCCGTCCGCAGTCCGCACGCAGCCGACACCAGTCTGGAGCTCCAGAGGTGCAGCTAGCCAAGTCTACCCACCAGGGGCGTCGCCACGGATTTTTGAGTGGGGGGGTCGGGTTTCCGGTCTTCGTCTTGATGTGTAGGGGTGTTTTTAGCCACACTCCCGGTTTTTTCGTGTGCCCGGAGAAAAACCTCGGCGCGCAGCGCCGCGAAAGCATGGCGGTATATCGTATTGTACATCAATTTTGCATCGTGCATAAAAATCAAGCAGAGGTCACCCGAGGTCAGGTAACAATGTCATGTCAAGTTCAGTTTTAATGCCTCTTAAAACTGCAATCTTGTCATTCCTATAGATTATCTCCTGACTCCTATAAGTCTGAAATTTGGTGTAATGAATGGGATTATAAGTGCCAACAGTTCATGAATCTGGGATTTTACATCTGAGAAGCGAAGTCAGGTCAAATAGGTGTGTGACCTCACCAATCATGATAAGATATGGGAAAAAGCACGATGCCCTCTGCTTTGAAAGAATATGCTAAAAACGCTAGATACTTTTGTAGCCATGACACCTTGTTCATTTTAGAGATAAGGTGCAGCTAATAACCAGTGGTGACTGAAATGGTCAGTCATTAGGTCATCAAAGGTCTCTAACACATTTTCGACAACAACTTTTGATGGAGACGTTGTAGAGCGATGACAGCACCTGGAGTGTGTTCAGCTCAGTAACACAGATCGATCCATATGCAGCAGGTTCTTTTCCAGTCAGGTCATGGCCTTTACCTGATGTCAAGTTTTCTATTCAAGTTTTTAAGTTCAAATTGTAAGCCATGCGACGTGTTTCGACGAAACAAAAACGATGGTGATAACATGAATATCATACACATTCACTGAATCATAGGTTGTTACAGAACAAATGTTTCGGCAAAATCCGTCCGTTTAGCTGTTTGGACTCTATGGTACACAAGCCTGAAGCCATAGACCCGAAGTCATATCTGAGGCGAAGTTGGCGAAAGAGCTTTAAAAAGCTATCGAATACGCTTTCTGTGTTGCTGTAGCTCTTATTCGTATTTTGCGGGTTGCTAAGGTAAAACGTTTACCAACGTAACGCATAAGGCATGCTTTCGGCCCCTGATCGAGGTAGAGTTTCGCGGAAGAGCGAAAATGCTGCCCGTGATGAAAGAAAGCCGATGATGCCCAATTTCAAGGTCTTGGCCGGGTCATCTTGGGTCAACGCCCAAAAGTAGGAAAAATCTGGCCGCCCATGCTAGAACTTAGTGAGCCGTAGCTGTTATCGGGGTCCCGAGTACGAGTTCGATGGTAGTCTTGAACAAAGATGATGACTCCATGCATTTTGGGTAGATCGGGTCGGGTCAGGTCAGGTCGACCAGCAGGCTTCCTGCCGGCCATCTAGAGTGGGTGACTGACAACCACCAACGATAGCTTCGTAATGACAACCACAAACGATAGCTTCGTAACATGTTACATAACCATCATTTATCAAAACTACTTGAAACGGTTCAAACGGGCGCTAAACTCGAAATCAGCCCCCAAAACCACACTTGTAAGTGGAAGCAAATAAAATTCAAAAAAGTTAACCAAGGTCATACATATTCGAATCAGGGCCATTTTTTTAAGAATAGGTGTAAAATTCATTAACTCGAGGTCACTGGAAAGTTCGTTGCAATATACTCCTTTTTGCGCGTCTTATAAGGAAAGCCCCAGAGTGATCCACCATCTGACCCCATTTCCCCTATGCAGGCAGGTCCGAGGGTAGCAGGGCTGAGGCTAGCCAGGTAGGTACCTCGTAGTTACTGATACGTCATCCGACGAATCGACTGCAACCATTATTTTGACAATCAGACGAACGCTTGGGTCAGTTTTGACGCGCTCGCTCATTTGAGGGATAAAAAGGGACTAAAATCATATTGGCATGCTGATGTTCTAGCCCACAGCTTATTGACCTTTAAGCAATAGGGACTAGGGAGCTCTTGAAGCGATTCTGAATCTGACGTTGTATTTGTTGATGTTGCTGACGCCAACTTCCCTGACATGATAGCTAAAAAAAGCATACTCAGCATCGCCAAAAATGGGGGGTCGACCCCCCCGGTTCTGACGAGTGGGGGGGTCGCGACCCCCCCGACCCCCCCGTCGGCGACGCCCCTGCTACCCACCCTGTGGGAGGCAGGCGGGTCTGTGCAGTGGCCACAGACCCATCATCAGACCCATCACAGTCCCGCCGTATTTGGCCGGTGGACGTGTCTGTGGCCCGCCCGCTGGACCATTATTATACATTACCGGACGCCATTGGGCGCGGCTACAATCTGTCATGGCCGGCTCAGCTAGTTAGCACAGATAGCGGTGACAGGCGGCGCTCTATCACACCCACTAATGCGCCGCTCCTCCCTTCCTCCCGCCCGCCTGTCTGCCTGCAAGCGGTGATGAACGCGACAGTAGCGGTCTGGGCTGGGCAGACTGTCGGCGGGGCGCTGCAGTGTTCTGTGGACGTGAGGCGCTAACGCCCCATAATCGCCAGCGTGCGTGAGGCGCTGAAACTCTGCAGTCTCCCATGAGCAGCGGAGGCATTTTCATCGGATGTGGAAGTGAAGTTTTGTGGCGTATCACCCTGCCCTGGAGGAGACCGTTAACGTCTTTCAATGATTAAGTGGTCTTCATGTTCACTGAAAAGGCAGCTATTTTCTATAGAAATCGTGTCGACCACACAGCAACTGTCACCTCTGCATCGACTTCTGTGTCTGCCCGGCCGGGGCGGCGCTATCGCAAACAAGTCCCAATCAGTGTCAGCACCTCGTGCCGCCGCCGGCCTCTCTGTTCGCCGCCAGATGAGCCGACTTCCGTAATCTCGGCGGCGACAGATCTCATAACGAAGTGGCGACGGTTCGGCGATGGCGTCCGATCTCAGATGGTGATCAATCGGAGCTCGTTAATGCGACGCCAGCCGTGCCGCTCGGATCGGCCGCCTCCGGTCGGGCGGTCGGGCGGTGGGCTCGCTCGTTTTTGTCCGACTCGTGTCGATCTGTTTGTGGCGGCGCGACTCGATGGGATGGGAGGACTCGACTGGGAGAACTCGACTGGTGGGTGGGAGGACTCGACGGGAGAATGGAGAGGCTGACCGCCTTGCGGTGTCTTCTCCGGGTGGAGTGGACCAATCGCTTGACGTGGCAACTCGTCGCCGAGTCGTTCTTATGGGCCCCGCTGACGGTGCTGTGCCCCTCCTCCCTTCAGGCGCCATGTCTCCGCTGCGGCGCCTCGGTGTGTGCTTCCACTCTGAAAGTGTTATACCCCTCTCTCAGGCGCTGTGTCTGCGCTGCGGCGCGTGGGGCGTGCCGGGCGGCGCCACGCCGGGCAAGTACCTGGTCGGCGTGCGCGTGGTGCGCTGCGACTGGGTGGCACCCTCGCTCGACGACCACGTAGTGCTGGCGCCCGGCGGCGACCTCGGCCTGGCGCGCGCCCTCCTGCGCAGCATCATCAAAAACGTCAGCGTCACCTTCTTCTTCCCGATGTTTGTGACGGTGTTCTACCTGGACCACAACCGGACGCCGTACGACCTGCTGGCCGGCACCATCGTCGTCGAGCCGGCCAGGCGGTGAGAGGGTGGGCTGGTGAGAGCGTGAGAGACTGCCCGGTCCCCCTGCCCGTGCGACCGTCCCTTGCGGCCATAATTTACTGCACCGGGTGGCGTTTCCGACATCATATGGTCTGTGGTGAGAACTTGTCATGGTTAAGGTGTCGTGGATGGACTGAATGATTGGTGTCAGAGGCAAGGTGGCTATGTGCATATAGGACGTTTCCTGGAGCTTAGGGAGCTTCATTGTGAGTTGTGTTGATATGTTATTGGAGAACCAGGGCCGGTCGGAAGGGCTCTGTCTGGGCCTGTGGTGATTTATGTTTTCAATTTATGTATATTTAAACTATGGTCGTGTCAAATAAGTTGATTTATGATCGCTGCATGGTGATATCTCTCCTGTGTGTGATAGATGTGTTTGTATGCCGCTGTTTGTCTCCAAGAATCTACATACAGAGTGATGGGGTGCACCGTATTTTCAGTGACTCGACATGGACCATAGATATAATTGAGGTCAGATGCTAAGTTCGCTTAACTCACTCCATTTGTACGGTGTGGAAAAAATATTGGGTTTGGTTTGAGTGGAAATTTATATGTTATTTCATTAAATATTATATGGCCACCTATATAAATGCTGATTTCCGTAACATTACCGATGTAGTGTTTCTGAATGATATGAAATTCAATGTTCTCTCAGCCCCTAAAACATGTCTATTCCCAGAGTTGGTGACCGATAGATGTCATAAAACCAGGGATGCGGAGCCGGAGCCGGAGCCGGAGCCGGAGCCGCCGGAGCCGGCATATTTTGCCCGGAGCCGGAGCCGGAGCCGGAGCCGTGAAACAATATAGCCCGGAGCCGGAGCCGGAGCCGGAGCCGTCAAAAAAGGGGGCGACTCCGACTCCTTTTCTTAAGAGGAAACAATTATTTACCTAGTTCGGTTTGACAGTACAAGGCGTAAAACAATGTGGTATTTAAATAGCCTTGTTATACAAATACAGAAGCAACGTGTACCAATCCCATCGCCTTTTTTCTTCCACCCGTATTTAATTGATCGCATAGGGGATGTACTGAGTAGAAGCCGGAGCCGGAGTCGCCGGAGCCGGAGCCGCCGGAGCCGGATCATTTTACTCGGAGCCGGAGCCGGAGCCGGAGCCGCCATGACATTTCACCCGGAGCCGGAGCCGGAGCCGGAGCCGATTTTTTCTCCGGAGCCGGAGCCGGAGCCGTCTGAAATTTCCACGGCTCCACATCCCTGCATAAAACATTTCGGCTATTGAAAGACGAACTGGTATTAATGAAGGCCTTTAAAGACGAACTGGTATTAGTGAAGGCCTTTACGGATCCCCATCGTTGTATGTTTGTGTTCTAAGTATTCAAGTATTTCCTTACCATGCGTTATTCACCGGCCGCTGACTTTGCTGATTTGAACATGTGACTCTTTGTGTCATCTCGCTGATAGTCCAATTGAAAAGAAAACGATCAGTTAACACCCTCCTGAGATTCATTTCCAACTGTGTGATGAAGGATACTACAGATTCGTTCTTAACACATCAAAATAACTTAGCCTCGCTTCAGGAATGGCATCTAGAACTGCGGCGGTGAGAACTGCGCCATTGCTGTGTGACGTCTAATTGAATTGTGGTCTGTGAGCGCAAGTCGAATGATCGCGATATTGAGTATTTTGTCCAACGTGATTATTATTTTGTTAATATATGGGTTGTCCAAAAAGCTGTGTCTGCAGTGAGCTACTTTTCTGTTGATCTAATGAAACTTTGTAAGGGACTGATTGGAGAGGGAGTGAGGTTGACACATTAGTGAATAGTGATGCATTTAGTCGCACACCAAAAGCGTTGGGCCAACCTAATGGACCAACGTATTATGCATGATTTACGCACGGTTCTTCCAAGTGGATTTGAAACAGATCGTTATGAGTGCGTGAGCTGTCTGACTGCTGACACCGTATCCGTATCATTATCGACCACTTGCTCATGATCATTTAGTTTTTGTTTCTGAACTGTGAACGATTCCCCATATGGCGTGCTGCCGGGCCGGCATTCGAAAATGCATTGCTGACGATTTATTGCAGCTTAATTTTGGCCAGAGCTGGCAGCCCTATTCGTAGCAGGCAATAATACGGGCGCCAGCTGAGGGTATGCCATCGTAAAGTTGATGTTATTATCCGGGTAATGCAAAACATTTAGCAAGTATCGAGACGCAGACATAAATCCAGTTTCGAGGCTGCGGAAGAATGTTACCTAATTGTTTAATGAATATGGCACTCGTAAAAGGGTTAGTTACGACTTACGACGCATGGTTATATTGATATTGGGCATCAAGTTCGGAAACCAAGGAACTTTGAGCGAACATTCCCATGGGAGCTGAATGATATCACAACACCAATGATATCTTTGTATTGTTTAGACCTTCTAGCCCATCGGTGCAGGATGTTCCGACATCTGAGCTCTCCCCGGGCCGGCGACATTGATCGGTCCGTTTTAGTCCCATGATCACACTGACCAGCCGTCGGCCGCTGTGTCCCATTGTGTTTTCCCCTGTAACATTGACCCGCTGTGTCCCGCTGCGCTTTGCCCTGTAACATCGACCCGCCGTCGGCCGCTGTGTCCCGCTGCGCTTTACCCCGTAACATTGACCCACCGTCGGCCGCTGTGTCCCTTTGTGTGTTACCCCGTAACATTGACCCGCCGTCGGCCGCTGTGCCCCCGGCCGGCCGGTGCACGTGCTGCCTCTGACCGGTCGACTGACCCGCCGCGCGCGGTGACAGCGCCGCCGAGTGGTCCGCCGGGACAAGCGGCCGCCGCCGCCCGGTGTCGAGTGGGTCGTAACCGGTTTAGCGGTGGGGTCGGACCGCGTCGCCACTTTGCCTGCCACGCGAACGAGCCGCCGCCAATTGACCCCGGTCGTCGGCCGGTGGGGAGGGGGAGGGGTCGCAGAGACGGATACAGTGCGCAGTGCGGTCACCGGGGAAATGTTCAGCATGGTCACACCGCTCTCAGTAAAGTTGGGAAACGGCCGACACTCCGGGCTGCTGCTGCGGTGTCAGTGTCCGATGTGTGGGTCGACCCCGACCGGCGCGGCCCTGAGTGACCTCCCTCTCTGACGAGAGTCCCGTGTCGGTGACGGATATCCGCCGCAGTTCGCTCAGCGACAACAGCTCCCCAGGCGCCAGCGCCGCCGTTCGGCGCCGGACAGTGGCTGACCCCGACCCGGTGACGGCCTCTGCTGACCCCGACCAGGTGACCGACCTCTGCTGACCGATACCTGCTGACCTCTGACCGGACTCTTCTGATATCTGACCTCTGACCGGACTCTGCTGACTCCGGTCCGGTGACCGACCCCTGCTGACCTCTGACCTCTGACCGACCCACGCTGACCTCTGACGGACCCCCGACCCGGTGACTGACTTATGACCGACCTCTGACGGACCCCTACTGACCTACCGACCTCTTTTGACCTCTAACCGACCCCTGCTGACCTCTGAACGACCTCTTCTGACCTCTAATCAACCCCTGCTGACCGACCCCTGCTGGCCCCGACCCGGTGACAGCGGACTGACTCGACCGGTGACAGCGGACGAACAGACCTTCTCCGGCAACCCGCGGCGCTATCAACACGGACTCGATGAGGAGTTGGCGTTGTTGTGTGTCCTTGCAGTCCTGATTAACGCTGCAGTAGTGCATCTTATATTGATGTCAAGACAATATAAGTGAGCGATAAGTAGACAATATAAGTAAGTGAGCTGTTGGTGATTTATAATTAAATTCAGCTTTTTTAGATGCGTGGGCATCGAAAACACCAATCATGTTTGACTTGCTGTTTTCTCAGTCCATAAAAAGCAAACTCGCCGACCCCGCTTAGTCAACGGATCTCATTATAAAACTTCTGTCATGATGCCAAACTTGCACGGGACAAGTTTGACTGGGTTTGAGGCGATATTTTCTGAGGCCGTGAACGCGGGGGCGGTGGCCAGCGGCACAAACGATATCCTATAGCGGCCTACTGTGGAGCGGTTGGAGTGCTGCTCGCCTGAAACGCTGAGGGCTTAGAGGGCGGGCCCCTCACCCCCACCCCGCCCCGCCGAGGGCCGTGGGAGCGCGCCGGCCGCACCCGCGGCGCTCGGCACGTCTGTTTTCCGCCGGTGGCTCCGACGCCGACGCCCGGATGAATATTCAAGTGTGCGCCGGTGTCGGCGGCGCGGCGTCCGTCCTCTAACAGATGACGGCGCGCGCCGGGACACCAGATGGGGGTCGCCGCAGAGAAACGCCAACCGAATTAGGGAAATGAAGTGGATTTGGACGAGGCTCTTTCGGGAGGTTATGCTAACGATATGTGGTGATCCAGCCTCCAGTTAAGGGCGACTTTTACGGACGGGGACTCCTAACCTCGTCAGGTGGTGAGGACTTGAATAGTAAGATGATGTAGATGCAGTCCAAATATCGTCTAATTTCGGGTGAAGAAGGAATGCAAGGAAAATAATGGAGACGAGCATTCAATCGTTGAAGTTATCACATGTAGGTAATGGAACATACGTGGTATCATACCGGATGGTCCCCAATAACACTCAGATCATAACAATCGCCGTGCTTTTTGGTTTGCTGAGCCCTCTTCCTCAGAAGATGTCGTTTTCTATCTTGGTTTTCCTCGTTGACTACGACAGCAGTTGATAAGATTCATCCGGTTCTTTAAACTGGCTGTTCCCCGGTTTGGCTCAGTGATATTCCACAGCGGTGCTCCTTCTGCGGCTCATCCGTCCGTTATCTGAGTGTTGTTTGCAGGCGCTCCAGTTATCTGCGGCTGGTTCGACCGTCAGCGCACCGCCCGCTGCGCCAAATGTTCGGGAATAGCATGTATGGATAACGCTACATGTGTGCTATCGGCATATTTGACGTCACGTTTCTGTTATCGGCCGCGGCTCCAGCGAGACGGCCGAAAGAACCAGACTCGAACTGCAGAAATGTGACTGGTTTCTAAGATTAGACGTTGACGTTAAAGTGCTTTCAAAATGACAACTTTGAAGAAAATGTTTTTTGTTGAATGATGGGTATGTTAAATGTATGGCAATCTTGGATTCCTGAGCTTCGCATTATGCAGCAATAGGCACCTTTGTTGGCCACCCTTTATGCATTGCTTTGTCAGAATGATGCGGGAAAACCGTACCGACATTGAGATAAAGAAAAATATATACCAACTGGTGCCGTGGCATCACTCGTCCTTTAATCTGTGATCGAATTCGACAGGGGCAGTAAAGTTGCGCTGTGATACCTATTACCTATCTGCAAATAGAATAGAAGAAACCTCGCAAAACTTCGCCGAGTCGGTAAACTTTGGCAATAGTACATGCATGTATATACATACATACATGCATGTACATGCATGGCAGATTTTCGGTGTAACACAAACAACATTTCGTGCAGAGCTATCAAGTTTCACTTCGCTGGCATCGGCTGTGTTTTTCGTCTTCTCGTTTACGAGAGGATAACGTCTTCGTTTCTTTTCTGTCGAATGTCCTCTCCTGTACTTTTCAAGAGTTGGTACGTTTTACGATGACTGTTAGTGCCTAAATGCTGCACACTTCAATAAAAAGGGTCGCTTCGTATGGGATGCAACCATGTTATTTGTTTCCAGTCTACCAGCCATTTTATGTATGTAGGTGCGCTCGACCAGGCCAGACTCCCAAATGGTTTTCGCCTGTCATCGATGAGAATTTACGACCGTGATCCTTTCACCGATATGAAATAAATGCTCCTTGAGCAGCAGAGACGTTGGAGGTATTGGATAAACGAATTCAGTCGCTTGCATCTCATAGATAGACTCGCGATGGCGATAGCGATCAACGAGCTTGCCTGTCTGGGATTGGTGTGCTGCGGCGCAGCCTATCTGCCAGGGATCGGTGTGTTGCGGTACAGTCTACCGGTCAGGGATTATTGCGGCTAGTCTGCCAGCCAGGGATGTATGTAATGCCGCACAGCCTACCTGTAGGGGATAGTTGCATTGCGGTACAGCCTATCTGTAAGGGATCGGTGTGTGTAGTGCGGCACAGTCTATGCTCTCAGTAAATGAACGTGGTTTCACTACCACGTTCCGTGCCCTTCAACCCTGCACTCAGGTAGTTCAGTCATTCATCTTCAGCGTCGCGACAGGCGAGAGATTAGGGACGGTTTTAACCCTATTAGTGGCAGGGGGGGGGGGGGTGTTTTCATCCACCCCTCAGGTTTTCGGGAATATCTCCGAAACCGCTGAAGCTACGATGCTGAAATTTTCTGACTTTTCCTAAAACTAAATTGGGCACATTCCTTGAAAATTTCAAGTTCATAACTTTACCAGGGGCGGCTCCAGAGCACTGGGAATTGGGTGGTTCTATTCGTGAAGCGAGTCATTTGGGCGAATATCACGATGCTGATGTATTATAACTGTATGCACCAGTTTTACAAACAGTGAATGAAAGGTATCATGTGATAAAATATACAAAGTTATTGTGCATCCTCTTTTGACACGTTTTTGCTATAATAGGCGGATCCAGGCGTCCAAAAAGGGGGGTTATGTTTTACCTCCCAGTCCCAACATAGGTGCCCTGACACCGCCTATGCATGACCAATACAATTGTAGTCGTTCTCTCATAAGAAAATTGTAACATAACAAGACCATTACCACCCTTTTTAGAAACAGTACCAACAAAAACCTTATTTACTATACTTTTTGTGTACCCCCAA